TCAAACCCATCCGAAGGAAGGCCGGCACATGTAACCTCTCTGACAAATCCAAGAAGCTACTACAATCGGTACGACAAAAAAGTGTAGCCACGTGTAAGCTTTCGGACCAGCTTGAAATGTGCACTCCCATATTCATCCTTCATTGACCCTTCAGCACAGGCTACAACTAGCATTAAGCATTTGGCTCAAAAATGAGCTGTAGATGATGGTCGATGAAGAGAATGTTGAACGCTTCTGCACAGGAGACTTGGATATGCTGCTGACGAACTGACGGGAACTTAGCTCGAGGGTGTTCAAACCGTACAGTTTGACCAGAACACTCACCCTCCGAGGAGCCAGTTGCGTTTTCAAAATCCACAAATTTTTGAAATGAGCTCCGTGGAGTGCGTCTGGTGCAAAAAGAAGTTGTGCATTTTTATTTTAGTTGGTACGCAACAAATGTGAGACGACAGTAGGACAATGAGGCATAAACTAACCTATTTGTTTTGAAAAAATGCGAGTATATTGAAAGGACCTATTACTGGGTGAGAGACTTCCTAGCAACTCTAGTAAAGTCTTAATTCTGCTGCTGTCGTTATCCGTTTAAAGCGGACATAAATCAGTGACAGAATTTTTCTCATAGTGAATCAGTTCAGTCCCCTGAAACGGTATCCACTACTCATCACTCAGCGGTCGTACATAATTCTATCACCGTCAGTTCCCTCGGAGACTACGAACATGCCACTCATACGGGTATCTTGTCTCTAAAGATAGTTTTTGCCTCGTTTTTTGGATGGTGGTAGTGATGCGACGGTGACACCACTGATGGGGAGGCATGTGAGTAGTATGTGTTCTTCGTAGAATTTCGCTTTGCGTCTTTTGAAAAAGGGAGATCTCTTACGGAATTTGTTGAGTCGCTTTGTAACATTTGCTTGGATTTGAGCGAGGAATGATTGGAGCCAATGAATCCTCAGGAAAGTTCAAGTAGACGCGTTCAGGAGAAGATGGATGTCCAGTTTTTGTAAATAAGATGCAAATTAGTGTTTTGCTTTCCTGTCCAATGGTCTGTAACCGGTCAGTTGGCATTCCCTAATAAATAACTCCGCAGCGAAGGCCTTCCTTTCACTGGTAGCGCGGCGCTCCTTCCGGTGACGAACAATAGCCGTTCATCTTAATTTGATTTGCCCGTAATTGGGGTGTTGGTGCCCAGCTACAGTTGTTCCGCTGAAACTGCCTGTTGGTCAAATTCCCGTCCTCCTGTTGGACAACGCACGGAATATCGCATCCAAATGTCGAGAAAATGAAAAGGCAACTTAGCTCCACCTGGTAGTCGTAATAATCATCCGGCTTTCGGTGCATGGCTGCCGTGCCACCTGGAGGAAGCACAGAAGTTGAGACAAGAGTAGTCTAGATGCCGAGGGAGTTTTCAAACCGCGGGCCTTCTGGTCTGTAATTGCATGCCATAACCAGTTCTCTCGAACTGGCGTACTGGATTTCTGTACACTATCCCGAACAGAGTACAACTCACTGTCTATCGGAAATATTTTGGGCAACTCGTTAGCGCCATGTCATTTGCGGGCGTGTATATATATTAAATGACCTTGAAGAACGATAAATGCGTCAGCACACAAAGTGCAACTAGCCAATAGGAGCGAAGCGCGGTCTTTTTTAGGAAAACGTGCAACATGGCATAAATAGCGCGAAAATTAAAAATTCAAATTTCCGGAAAATAATCGGTAATAATGCAACAATTAAGCAGGTTAGTGGGATGGTGATACCCTCAAAATAGGCAATTAAGAGATCTAACCAAATGGAGGAAAATCTTTCGACCAGCCTGCTTTATTACCGGAGACTTCATTGGCATCAGTGCAGTTAGGACGGTTTTCGTGACGGGATGTGGTCACTGTGAAGCTGGCCTACCGATGGTATATCCCAAATTCGCCATCTTCCTTGACGTAAGCATTGAATCTTCAACCCCTCCCTCCTTTTAGATTTTCTCATTTCCTCTCAAGTATCACAATCATCCTGCAAAGTTCTACCCTGCTGAAACCGCACAATTTCACTCCTATGACCCGTAGATACTTCGCAATGTGCCGTATTGGACTAATATGTTTCAATTCAGATTGCTTTCTCTCTGGGTCGCTTTCCAGGTATTATTTAACGCAGTCATGTTCGAACGTAGTGAGTGGCGTTGATTTCTTACCTTAAGGGATAGTTTCACATCGGTTAGCTCCATCATGTTACGGATACTCCAGTAAACGATCCGTTGAAACTCAGAACTGTGTAGCTTGAACAAAGTGGCTTAGTTTGAAGTAGACTACTAGGCTTTCAGTCAATCAACTTTCAGTCAATACCATCAGGTTACCCAAGCCTAGACAGGAGTAGTGATTTGTCAGAGTCGGGTTCGAACTACGGACTTTCCGGTCAGTAGCTTCGCATCTTATCAACTGAGCTACCTCGAGCTAAATGTCTGCCAAAGAAAGTTATGTTAAAGGTGACTTCAAATGTGCATTTTCTTACGCTCTTTCTAACGCAATTAGACAAAGGTATCGGTCTAACTGCTCAATAATGGAGCAGCAAGAAAGTCCGACGTGATCATCCGACAGCACCGACCTGGGACAAATGCGGCATCGCGCCAGCTTGTTAACTACATGAACTGTCTTTGCCTGTGAGTTCTCGAATCGCAAAGAATGACATGGGGACCTATCATAAACCGCCACCTACCGACCATGTCCTTTTAAGAGGGTTCCTCAGCCTCCGAGGTTAGGCTCTCTATCCTTTTCCGTACAACAGGATGCTCATAATTTTCTTGGGACCTTCAACGATATACTTATGGGGAACTAGAAAAACTACACATTTCTCTTCTTACTAAATCACAGGAGTCGACTGTTCCGCTTATGAGGAATTCTCCCCAAAGCGGAGTTGCTGTGTAGCCATTCGGGAAGTGGTGCGATGTTTCGCATCCAGGTTGTTCCCGAAACTTTTCCGTGTTTCGGTCCTATTCTCGATGGGTATCCTTTAGCAATGATACTATCTGTGGAGATGGTTACTCAGTAAACTGTTTCGTTTGTCACCTGATTCTGTTGATAGTGGGGCTGGGTTTTTGATTGTAAGTATATGACACGGGTTTTTCATTCTTACGATATAATTCTGTCACTTGCGACGGCAGAACTGTGGAAGTTTTATTGCCCTCCGTCAGTTGCTGTCAGCTGCGTTCGACTTTTAGGTGATTTTGATTCCACCCTGATCAGTTGCTTGATACGATAGTGCTCCTCCGGTCGGTTAATGTTGAGACAGCTTCTCAAATATTCATGATCTCATATTGTTTCCTACTTAAGGGGAACTGAGAGGTCCTTCTCTTGTCGTCTTCCAACATTCCAATTAGACAGTCGCTAACATCTTCATCCAATGAGAGTGGCTTTCGGTCTAATATTAAAAGCACAAGTATTCGGGGTTTCGTTCACTATAGTTAATGTCAGATAATATTTTATACGTTCAGTGCACATATGTGGTGAAATAAGCTGTCCAAGAATAGCAGTCTGTATGCTGTAGTTGTGAGCGTTGTTACTTGGTAACATGTAGCAAGACGTCAGTCTCACTCGACTGGGTAGACAGTGGAAGTACCCACCATATCTCTGCAATTTCTCGGTCGTGTTTTGGACGATAGAATCCAGCGGGAGACAGTCCGTCTTCAAGGCCGGTAGTTTTAGATATCGAACGTATGTCAACCGCTGAACTACGCGAAATGGAAATTCGAATGACGTACTTTTTGATCTGGCAGTTCTTTGCTATACAGACCTTGGCGGTGTCCCAGCCCTGTTGCTTTTTCTACTTGACAAGATCATACTGAAAGACCTTAGCTGGATGATTTTCGCAGTTTTCGTGTAAGAGGGCACTTGCATAACACAGAGCAGGGTTTATACTGTACATTTCAGACAGATGATGTCGGCTTCCATTTTCTTATCACTGATGTATTGGAAAGGTTGCTGTTGTCGGATCGCATCAGAAATCCGTAGGGAAATAATGAAAAAAACGTATTTGCTAGTGCAGCAAGTAATTCGGTCGGGAAAGACACCCATTATCACTAGCCACGGTGGTTCGACCACGTGCTACACATCCTCATAACGTCGCATCCTGAAACGAGTTTCCTTCGTAATCTTCGATGTGGACAACAAATGACTTGGTAAGAAGATGCAAAACAGATCGTCAGGAGTTTAAGCTTTTTGCTGCGGTCTACCTCCAGGGATCCCGTGTTTCCCAGCTCTTAGGTGGAGACGTTTTAAAAGAATGGCACCTGATCGATTTCAGTGACGTTGGTGCTGTCAGTCAGATAGATTGAGTGCTTGGAGGTGTAGACCCTTCAGAATGTGGTGTACCACGCCCCTTCGTCATTTATTCTCTTTTTTCCACTCAAGTTCAAAATATTGTTAAATTAACTTTGTGGTTGTATGGCAGTGGTGCATTGGTATCAACACTGGTGATAATGTGACTGTACATCACACAATCAATAGCCAGGTGTAAAGCGATCACGCTGGTAGTCATAATAGTGAGACCGAATAACAGTACTAATAAATAACTCAGTAGAAGGTCTAACTATGGAACCTGATTTGTACAGCACAACGAGGACGAACAGAGTGGGTGGGTTTAAACGCAGTAACAGTTTACTGAAAGTTTTTCTTGAGAAATATGCATGACAATTTCAAAACAAAGCATGAAGATAGTGCGAAGTTTTTGTAATTCATTGTTCGAGTAATCAGAACGGTAGCTTTGGATTAGGTGGGTTTTAAAACGACCTTTTGATATGCGCTAAATATATGTGAAGTTTCCCACCCAATCATTATCATCATCATTAACAGCATGACATCAGTTTCCAACACCGATGCTTCGCCGCCGTACAACCAGGATTTATTTGAAAGCCCATTTGTGCAGAAAGGAATGAAGGTGGACGGGGAAGCGAATTAGTGCTATCTTACCACAATCATTCCGAGGTGCCGACAACTCCAAATACGTATTCAGGGAATCTGGTTTTTTTCCGCAACTCATCATATTGACTCTGAGTGCGCGGAATTGCAATGAATAAACAAAGTGACCGCATTGTTGGCGACGTTATCTGTGGTAGCTTGTAGTTTATACAATGTTCACTGCTCTGATCACATGACTGTTGGTCCGTGTACCTATAAGAAAAAAATTGAAACATTCGTAAAGGTTGACGCAGTCCTTCTTTGGGGAGGACACCGGTTGCTTAAGCTGGATTTACACCACGGCACATCTTGCCCGACTGAACTTAAACTCATTTGATCGTACCAAGTCGCACCTTGTTCCATTCATCTATATCGAGAAGATTACCCTAACGTGGTTGTATTGACGTCAGTTGTATTGACAGAGTCAGTGGTAATGTTGGTTATCATCACCTCTCGGCGTCTTAAACCGGCCTGGTGACACCCGGAGGATTGTTAACGTTGCCTATCACTTCTGTTTCTTATCATATTCCATGATTATAAATTCAGCGGCAAGGTACATGTCCGTGTATCCTGATTTTGAGTCCGTAGCTCTTGGTTTTGGTTCACCAGCTTGCTGAATGTTATTCCCATTATCTTTTTAGATCTGTGATATGAACCCCAAGTTATTCCGAATCGTTATGCAAGCATTTGTGAGCTGCGCCAACAAAATTCTGACCGCACTTCCAGAGTCCTGGCAACCCCGCGTTAATATTCAGTTCCTGTCGATGGATCATCTCATGACAGACTACTTACCGCGACTTCGCTCGGTCGCGCTCGCCCTTTATTCTTCTGTTGACCGTTACATTGAACCCAGTCTAATAAATGCTAACCGAACACTTACAGGTATGGGTCCTGCAGCGGAGAAAGAAGTTATCTCGAATGAGAGGGAGGTGAGTCTGATTGTGGTTGCCTCAGTTCTTTTTTTCTATTACTCTTTCACAGGTTTTCAAGTTCAATGCTAAACCTTAGGGGAAGCTCAGAAAAACCGGCATTTCTAGGTGGTGAGCCATGGTTTTAGAACCATAGGGTAATGTTATACACACACACACGAGTCACCTTTTTGAAGCGAAGTTTCCCCCGGAGCTCTGAACCGGGGGATTTTCACTCAGAAATTTAGGGTAGGGGCTACTTATATAGTTATCTTATTCCGCGTTTCTCCCCAGACTGAGTTCTGGCCCATTACTCACACTTTCTTCCAACTGCGTTCAGCTCGCGCAAAGCATTCGCGATGTGGTCAACGCAGGGATGGTATGCGTAGAACGTACCCATTTCAGTTGGTGTAGCGAAATGATCTCACTCAAGGGTTGGACTCTTAACACCTACCGATACTTAATGCACTGAGTCAGTACTGAACTGTTGTTGCCATCAGACGCGTGTAGCAAAAATCGTCAATGTGTAGAGTTCAGGTTTCAAATCCATATAGTGAAATGGCCAATGCTGAAATGCCCTTAGACCCTGCATTTCAGAGGACAAGTATTTGAATGCCTCACCGGGCAGTCACACATCTTTGGACGTGAACATCTCTGCTTCCTTTATTAAGCGTGTCGCACCGACATGGGCCATAAGTGTTTTCGAGGCAAGACCTCGAATTTCAACGACAGCGCAAGGTTCGGCATGCAACCTGGTGTGACAGCTAGCTTCCTTTTTACATTGTTTTTTTTGCAGTCTTATTCCAGGACGTTCGTTGTTTGCTGGGCCACGCGGACGAGGTGGTTTTTGCGAACCAAGGCGTGAATCTCAACACAGTCAAGTCTTGCTTGATGCCTCCCGAAAGGCGGTTGACTTGTGTACGAGGCTGTTTCCCACCGAAGGAACGCAGCCAGGGCCTTGATCATAGTACATTAAGTTTTTGCGAAGGTGTTGTCCGTGATCTAAGTACAAACTAGTGCATTCATTTCCGTGTACTGGGTGACTGTATGTGTTACGGGAGTGTACGCAGTCCTTTGTAGACGTTGCCTTTGTCTACATCCGGACCAATCAGCCAGAGCATATACGACGAAGAGACAACGATTGCCATCTTTATGTTCATTCTGTCACATGATCCATAAATGGTGCTCAGATTCCGTTGTCAACCTAAGTCAGTCTGACATTGCACCCAGGATTTTATCGCTCAGAGTTATCTCAACACACTAACCGAATGTTGGTACTCTCTAGCCCCAAGGCAGATGGGGGTGAACCTGGTGGGGATCCAATATAATGACGCATGCCCATAGAGTCGATATCTAGGTTCGCTACCATGGCTTCTTGTTGGTCAACATACTGAGTGTGCCTAACTTGAATGGGGTGCGGCGCCGTGGAAAAGAGGGCTAAGAGGGTACTTGGATATTTATAAACATGTCTTTAACAGAGCTTACCTTCCAGGGAAGATCATTTTTAAGTGATATCTTGAAACTTCAAATAGCTACGGTTGGGTTTAAAACACGCTGGCGTCAGTTTGCTGGAAATGAATACTGCCTGGCTCAACCGAAAACTGCCATGTTCTAAGCGAACCACACTGTGGTTAAGTTTGCCAATATCTTCATTTCTAGATTCAGTTTCCCTCCATCGCACAACAAACACTTTTTTTCACACAGTGTCCTTTTCAAGGTCGGTTATTGTCGATGGTGATGCAGCCCAACCTCAGCATCTCGACCGCTCTCGTCTACGCCTAACCGATCTGGCACCATCTCATTCCCCGTTCTTCTTTCGGGTAGCATGTCAGCTATGCACCGAAAGGGTGGTATGGTAGGATGATTATCATTATTATTGTTATGGCTGACGAAGGATTCAGTTATCTCCACCGTCAACTTCAAAATAATTTTAAAATGGTTTTGTTTCCTCACACGGTGTAAATATATTATTTGCTTGTGTGAGCATTTGAAAAGCTTATTTGAATTACTCCTAGCGGTCTAAATCCGGGCAGATGGCTGTTATTCATTATATATATATATATATATATATATATATTGTATATATTGTATATAGGGTGCTCCGTTTCATTGTTTTGATTATCACAAAGCATGCAAGATTCTTCGTAGATTGGATTTATTGTTAAACTGAGAGCCTTCACACACACAGACGCACTGTTGATTGAGGTTGGAGGTTCAAGTGCCTCAGAATGCCTGCGGCAGGCTAGCACCAGACCTTCTCCCAGCCCGTTTTTTCAGTTTTCACTTTGGTTCTTCGAATATGTAATTGAGCTTTTACGTTGTACAGCGGTGAAACGTCGGTGCCAACATTGTTTTATTGTCTCTGATGATGATCATGAAGCATGGCATTTCTGGGCGGCACTTTGAAGCTCATTTTAACGGTTCATGTCCCCCAGTCTCTGGCGGAAGCTACTTCTGACGGTTCCCCTCAGTTGGTCCTCTTATTGGGTGGGCTGAATCATTCCTATTTAGAATGTTCAAGTGAACAACGGTTCCGCTAGTCGGATGCGTAACTAACTGTAATCGTGTGTACATCATGTACCATTTCCTGGCCATCATCAATATTAATTGAACGTCCAAATGTCCCGAGTATTTTGAGTTATCTTCCGACTAGCTGAGGTGATATCATCCTCTTACTATCGGCAATTTTGATGGTGCTCTAGTGTTGATTAACTTTACCAGAGTTCTATGCCTCCGCTTTGTTGTTTACTTCGAAAGACCAGTTCGTATGAGGTTATCTGATCCAATTACATTCCTCCGTTTTCCATAGTTGTGGCGTACCGCTTGTCCGGTTTACTTCTAGATGATGTGTTGTGCATGGGAAGCCTCACGAGCACGTTGCCTTGAGTGAACACCCCCTCATAGAGCGCTTCTAGATGAATAATTTGTGACGAATTTCTACACGGGCGACCGACAAAAAAATGGAAACCACGTCCCATCTCACTATCATGTTTCGTCGTACACACACGTAACAACTGTGTGGTTATTTTGATGTTGCTTGTTACATGAGGCGTACATTGTTGGTTAGTTGTACGTAAAGCGTTCTAAACACTGTTATTCTCTGTGTTCAGGTAGCAATTTTTAACCTGACTTGTATTTCATTGTTTTTAGTCGTCACATAGGCGTACAGTCAAGGCTCCGCCATATGTGTTGGTTGGAACACAGGAGCTCTTCGGCCAATGGGATTTACCCCCTTCTGATCCTTTCCATCGTTCCTGCGTTCTGTTTGTTGCCTATTGTTTGTCGCAAGATCAGCAGTGGTTATTGGCCAGCTTCACGGACGAACAAGGCAGCCTTCTGGATCAGACGTTAATCAATATCCGTGTTCCATCCACGTTCTTCTCCAGCTCTGAATGTGGCGGTGCGCAGCCACAACCAGCAGGTTCTGAAGGCACACGAATTGTCAGTCCTCGTCGCATCGGTTTGCTGCGACTGTGGGACTATATGATTAACTTGATAAGTCGAACGGCCAATCCGTGGCGCCTAGTCGTTGGTCGCGTCGGTCGGCTGGGACACGGCGAATTGAAAGGTCGGTTCTGGTTTATTTTTTTCCCTCTACCGCTTGTTTGTCCCTTCTGTGATCGTTTTCGTGCCACTGTGGTATGGACGTTCTAAGTCGGGGGCAAACGAGATTGGCTGATTTATTTGTTCTTTAACGGCTTATAATGCTTTCATATAGTATTTATAACCTATGTCCAAAGGAGAATGGGAAACAATTTGAACCCCATGTTCTCACTCGTATTCCTGCTTATTCATCCGTTGTCATGCAACCAATCGGAATCTGTTCTTTCTATGTGTATTGGCATTACCGTAGGACACATTAGTTGAACGTCCCTCCGCCTGATCTCCCGGCCTCGCGCATCCCATGGGTACACTTTACAGTTTTACAGAAGGCACACACTCCATTCTCTCAATAAGTAACTGCTTTTCAGTAACTGGATTGCATCAGGTGATCGAACGCAATCGACTTTAGATAACTCCATCAGGGAATTAGGTAACTTACTGAGCTGATGCAGTGCACAGTTGCACCACTCTACACTAGTCCCTCCAACAGCATAATGCGTGTCTAGCCCTCAAGCGAGGGAGTGGTCCTAGGAAAATTACTACTGCAATCATAAGTTTCACTTGGGAGTTCATCCTCTGATTGAAATAAGTTTACTTTAAAAATCCAGTGAAAAAAACTACAGCCGTCTTCCCATTTTTGAGAATCATCATCCGTGTGGGCTGCGAATCTCTGGGATGAACCCAACCTGTAACCTTCTGCTTAATATCTGCACTATACCACTCAGCTACAAGTGGCTTATCTATACTATGACCGCACGTTGATAGGACATAGTGCCACTTGTGCTGCCAGTACTTGATTCGGTATTGGCTGGATCCTCAGTTGGCAACTTCCCAAATGGAAGGCCGCGCGACTTGTGAGATTTTTTGTCTTTTATGGTTAGGTTACACGTGGCTCGTATGTTGTAAGTTGGTGGCCGTTACCAATAGGAAGCAACTGACTCATGATTCTCGGTTCCCCACTTTCATGGTAAAATCTTTAATGGAATACCAGGATACCACCACCCAAAATCATGAAATTTGAAAAGGCGAAAATCGGGCAAGCGGTAGTGTTGAGTGACATTATATGAACTTTCATCGTTTCAGCACGTGCTTTCCGTGCAGTCCATGTACTCATCAGCGGACATTCTCCAAAATGAACCTCAGAATTTCATGTCAATACACCTAACTTCTAGTTATCATTCACTATCGGTACTTTGTACTGTAATAAGCGATAAACCGAGACGCACGAAGATGCTTGGCTAATTAGTAAAGACAAGATGCTTCACGACACACCTGTATGCGATGTTCATCTTCATCTGCTCACAGTACTGTCTCCCTTTTATTCTCGCTAATAGGTTGGAACGGTCTCTTGGGTCGAAAAAGTTTGCAAGATGTCAACCGATTTTTCCGTGATCGTTGTTCAACGTGTAATCTATCCGCCTGCGTCTCCTCTCAGCCGCCCGGTGGGTCCAAAGCTACGTTAAATCTGGTCAACTCTGCCAGTGGATCCAATAGCTGCACTCACGAGCTACCCAGTCTGATAAGTGCTTGTCTGGTTTCTTTGGAACCACAGAGCACATTTCGGATATATCCTGGGCTCGGCCTCTCGCCAGAGGACGCTTGGGCCCTTGGTGGTGGAGGTGGAGGGGGTGGTGGCGGAGGTGGTGTTGGTGGTGGTAACACCAGTAGTTCAAACAGTACAAGCGCAGGTGGAAATTCGGGGACTTGTGGTGGATACACGCCTTCTGCGTTCGGCATGCGCACCACTATGATGGTTGGTAATGCAATGACATCGAATGAGGTCCCCAGTGCGACGCATATCCTCGTCTTTCCGACGAGTACCTCTGCAAGTGGACTATCCGTAAGTTTTTGTTCAACCCCTTTTGTTTACCATTGTCTCCATTTACGAACTTGTTTTTTAGTTTGAAATGTTTATGCGCGACAACGCCCAGTTGAAATAGCACCAAATTTTTACGGTATACGCCACATAGCAACCGCAACTAGATTGGACAAAACAGCAGCTGTATGAGGACGCTGCCAGGTGTATTGTAGTCCAGTACTTGTCCATTAATTAACATAAGCGACGTGCGATTCAATTTTTATTTTTAAGTTAAGAACAGAAGGGAAGAACATAACTACTAGAGTGAGGGCACGTTTGGTTTTGCTGTTGCGACAGTATGTTACGCTGCATCAATTTAACAAGTCTAACCTATGGATGTTGGGATCTGTAAATAGATTTTCTGCGGATTGTAATGACATTTCATGTGGTTTTCCGCGGTCTTGTCACGTGGGAACAAATAAGCAGTCTTGCGCGGTTTTTATCTCTCTAGATTTGCTTTCCATGTTTTGTAAACTTGTCAAAAGGTAGGTGAAATCCTTATTCTCGTGTAGTGAAGTGTAACTCTGTTGCACTGAATTCTTAGGAGGGTTGCATTAAGTTAGCTGTATGCATGTATGCGTACGCCCGTGAATCTTTTTCGGTCACCAGATCGCATAGCGTTCGAATTATCTCAGACCTAGCCCACTGCCAGCCCTTTATGGCTCTTCCTTTAACCTGGCGTCCATACCGTGTTCGAATGACAGATACGTATTCAGTAGGTTCTCATGTTGGATGTGATACCTCCGATAAACACTGACAACTTGGTTCCAGTCATACTCTGAGAGTGGTGTCATTTTTTTCACTCACTTTCTCCGCAGGAGCATGATGCACCGGCTTTGGATGAGGTAATGATCGGTATGGATTTGCTGGATTGGCTACACTCTGGCAACAATGAACTGGGTGATCTTGATGCTTCCGGTCATGCTGCGGATGCTATGTTTGCGGCGTTTGACAATCCCTCAGGCTTAGAATTTGGTTTGGCTGGTTTGGGGGCTGCCGTCGGCCCCGGGGGAGTCACTGACCATTGTGGTTCTGGTGGTAATGCTGGAACCTGTCCAGTTCTTGGTAATTCGGCGGACAACCTCTTAGGACACGGTGACTACAACGGCTCGCTTCACGATCATAGGGGACACGATCGCCCATCTGATATTGTGGGTTTGCACGGTATGTCGAGCTCCAGCGTAGATTTGGGTGGTGGGATGCTCAACGGATTGTCGAATGCTGTCCATCCTAGTGACCGGTTTGAATCCCACTCGTCAACGTTTGGACCTGAGCTCAACACAATGCCTTACGGCTTGAGTGACCTGCCGGTAAGTCATTTCAGTTCCTAATTTTCCCCAGTAAATCTCTCCGGTTGAGTTTCTCACTGCCGGTCATCGGTGAGGACCTAAATTATTCTTTAGAAAACAGATATCGCAATTCTGTCCACATTCTCATTCTCACTAAATGCCAATCTAAAAACTACATTATTAGACATTTTTTCTTCATATCGTACCTTAGCCTCTCGCCTGTAGGTTAGAAAGTTGTTGAGGATCTGTGCCGTTTTATCTTGCAGATGGGTCTTCTGGTTTTACTCATTCTTGGGTACTTCGGCAGCGTTATTGGACATAGCTACGGTTTTTGATTCGTGATCACTATCATCACTCAGGCAACAACTACTGAGCCGGATGTGTTGTTCGTTAGATGGGCACATGTGTCAATATCAATTAACCCTGTGGTTCGTGTTTGGTGGTTTAGGATTGGGTGCAATACACTTGTGAATGCAGTCATCCCGCAGGCAAATGTGGCAAAGTTAGGCTTAATCTTTAAAGACCAACTCTCCTACCATACCCTCTACACCTGATTGCATGTCATCGAATCTGACTCTTCCTGTCCCTTCTGGGCAATCAAAATATAGGTTGATTACAGCGATCCAATAACTAGGCGATAATCTCAGTCTGTGGTTACTCTCTTTCTGTTATTTCAATACTACCTTATCTATCTCCTTGCAGGACGAAGTTGCCAATTTGATGCAGCAGCCATTGGCGATGGGATACTATGTATCGACTGCCCCTGCAGGTCCGCTACCGTCGTGGTTCTGGGCTGCCTGCCCGCATGCAAGTCTACAGTTTCCGGTTTGCCTGAAGTCAGCTTTGCACTTGCAAACTAGTCTGGTAGGCATGGATGACGCTGCCGCTGCCGCCGTCGGAACCCCTGGCCCACCACCGAGCGCCGGCCCTGGTGTCGGTTCCGGTATGGCAACATCCGACCGACCAAACCATTCCTTAGATTCCACAAGTACCTGTGATGTATTGCGCTATGTTCTAGAAGCATATAACGCCTTGTCCTGGTTGACTGTAAACCCAGTGACTAATGATCGTCGTTCATGCCTCCCCATCCATATGCTTCTGTTATGTCAACAGTACCATGCCATTGAGTCATTCACCTGATCTTGCCATAGGCACGCCAAGTCTTGATATTTTCTGATGTTCAACTCCCGTCGGCAGCTTTCAATGACTAAATTTTTCCCCTTACTTCTGAGACGTCCTGCGATCCCTTTTAGTGATGTTACTCACTAATTAACGTGGGTCGTATGGTTGTACATAGTTTCTTTATTTCCAGTTTCCCTACTGGAGTGTACAATATCCTACTAGATCCTTTCTTCTCCTTGTGTCGAACTGACCAAGGGGACCAAACGATTTCGGCTGTGCTGTACATTGCAGTCCTACTGAGTGAAACTAAATGAAAATGCGTAGTCGGATTCGTCTCCACCTCAGTCTACTCGTCTGTGTTGTGTACAGTTATCACTTTCCATTCACGAGACGCTTCCGTTCCACCTTTCATTTTCTTACTTTTCCCTCCTTATGTCCTCATTTCAATGCTCTCTGTTCTCAGCAGTCTATGATGTTCCATGCTAGGCAGCCACGGGCGACATAACAACCTTGTATCCCTTCTATGCGTCATTATTGGTGCCTTGTTTGACCACTGTCCGACTTCTGTGGATGAGCCGGTCGATTTGTTCATCTTGGTTCATGTTTCTTCTAGTGTCTTATGTGCCTTGTGGTTAGAGATTGTCTTCTTCTTATCGTGGACTTGTAATATCTCTATCCAATTCAGCCGAATGAACGCAGGTGTACATAACCTCTGAGGACTCCTATTTGTTATCTTTCATCAGAACCCACGTATCCGTTTCAAAACGTCCATGCTTGTTTGGACGGGTTGTGTAAATTGCTCTGCGCATCTGTATAGGTCTTCGTATATATATTCATACTTCAGTCGATACATTTCATCCCGTTCAGAGCATTTGTCTTCTCTTCAATTTGTGTTGACGCTGACAAACAAGCGTAGACTGTACATGAGTATGTTCCGGCCTGTCCTATCCTGTTCCAATTTCTGCAGGGATCTTCTAACTTATCGGCTGGTCGAATATACGCAGCTGTGATGCAATTCTTTCTTCCCATATGCTTTGTATTCCAAGGATGGGCTGAAGTAGCTCTTTTTGGTTGATTATTCAGGCGTGGTTTTGCATGAATTATCAAGTCTATCAAGCACTAGTAGACGCATTGTTGACGGTCGCAACGGAGATGTCTACCCTTTCTACAAACTACTGTTAGTAACCTTAGGTCTCATGCGTCCTGTTGTGAATAGAAGTGATTTGCGTTATATCAGCTGAGGATGAATCTCTGTCTAACCTTCCATTAAAGGTGGGTGAGAGTTATATGTATGGGGAAATAATGAAGTTGTATTCTAAAACGGAAGGAAAGGCTTCAACGGGTCGTACAGTATGGTTCATGGATGGCAATGTTTAGCAGCATTTGTGATTAAGATGAAGGTAAAGGTCAAATGCCGTTCTGACTGCTTGTTACATGTTTCCGCAAGTCCCATGAACCCCCCTGACTTAATTCGCCACATCTTTTTGGAAGATAGACGGACTTACCTTCAGAGCGCATTAAGGCTAACAAATCGATAAAGTTGTTTGGATAACTGACTGAACATTAGAGGACCGGTCGATCTGAATCACCATGTATTCTTTTACAAAGTTCCGCGTAACTGGGAATCTAGTGATTCTCTGTTTTCTCAGCATATTGAATTACCCGGTGTCGGCTGTACATAAGCTCATCCATAACCTTGGATCGCCTGACGTTCTATCTAGCAGTGATTTGGTACGACTTCATTGAGGTTCTCATGAAAAGTTTTTGAGGATAGTAATCAACATAGCTGAATCAGTCTTTGTCTAATAAGTTGGGATTTTGTGATTGTGTTATAGTATTTTGCGTTGACTAGCTTATGAAAGCTGCTACTGATCTGATCGCCCGTGAACTGCACAACTTGTCGTTCGTCAGTTTACTACCCAACCAGTATTTCGAATCAAAGAATTCCTCATTCCACTTGATTTATTGAGTGTATGCACTTCTGAAGCGCTGGTCGATTTTCATCTCGCTGCCGAGTGTAGCGCGTGAAACACCAAACAAGGAAAACGTGCTTAATAGTAATCGACCGTAAATGACCTAATCCGAGTGCTGCTTCCATGAGCCGTGTAAATAAATATATCCGTCCTCCTAAGTCATTCAATTTGAAGCGAATACCAGTTTGTAGGCGTTTGTCCAGTAAACAGCTAGATGTTGCCAACGTAACTATTCCGGGGGGAGGGGGCCTGCAAGTCGATCATCAACTTAAGAGATACACCGTTACGTGTAGGGTGTTGATGGTTGCTGATAGAAACGTATTAGTCCCTAAAGTCTGAATAACTTTCAGGAAATGAGAGTGATATGAACATGACTTCGCATAAATTTATCAATTGTTGGTATCGATAGATAGGGATTTTCGTATGCGAATTTCAGCTTGCATTTACCTCGTGTTTGAATGATACTTTACCGTCGAATCGTATGTTTTACGTTTTGCAAAGTTCAATGCTACCTAGTATTGTGTATTTGAAATCATGATACAAGGTGCAGCTGCAGAAAATGAAATCAACCGTGCTGTTTCAAGAGCAAGTAGTTTGCAGAAGCCATGTTCAGTAGGTCACCTGTCCTACAAACGCTCGGGTTTCCTTATCCAGAAGGTGTATGACTTTGGCTTATCCGAACTGCCGCATCCTCTTGTCACGCATTTTCTGTTGACCGTAAGTTTTTTCTCATTTGAATTTCGAGTGAAGATCCTCGATCATCCAAAGTGAAAGCGTTTTAAGTTGGGACATTTCATCCGAGTATTTTCTTTCTTTCATAGTTACAACTGGTCGAGCTCTTCCTCACATTCCTGCAGGTGCTGCTTTTTGGCCTGGTCAGATTTTTCATTCTAGGAACAAATAGAGTGATACCACAGAATGAGTGTCTCTGAAGAAAGGATGCATCCAAGAAGCAAAAGAAACCGGAGGCCTTATGTGATATTATCGGCAACATGTTTATTTAATTGTTTGCTCTGTCATACTACCGACTGCTGATTCTCCTGGACTCCTCCAGTCCACACCAGCAAATCAGACACGCCTTACTTGCACCTCCTAAAATTCCAGCCCGTCCACTGTTACTCTTTACGAACGTCTACGGTTTCGTCAGATCAGTTCGCAGCCAACTCCCACAGTCAGTTTTTTCTCTTCCTCATACAGCCTGGAATGTAATCACAATAGTTTGTGATTCAGGAGGAAAGTTTGCGAACTATCGTTTTCAGCCGCATATGATTTGACAAACGTAGATATTAAATAGAAAACCGGATGCAGGCAGTCTTCCATTTGTGCTTAGAAACTAAGCAAGCATTCTGAGATTCTGCTTGAAAACAATATATGCTTTAAATTTCGCCTTCAACGCAGACACTATTGATTAGGTTTTGTTAGTCTTTTGCCCAATGACCCCCTTGAAATTTAATCCGAACGAAGGGGAATGAGTACTTCGTCCTTGGTATTTCATGGAGTCCAATCTAGTTAAAAAATATTCCAGGCGGTAATTCATTTGCCTTGTGCCACATTTCTGCAAGCAGGTACGTCACTATTACAATCTTGTGATATTGCGTAGTGCATTTGTAGAACTGTGAAAACCCGTGATCCATTAATTGCGTCTACGCGGTGTTGTTTGAAGGAAGGAAAGTGGAATCGCTGTGTAATGATCTACCTTTTGTCCTCCTGTCACATGTGCCTATTAAAGGGATTTTCCGGTAAACAGAACCGCAGAACGTTCTACTATGCTCTTAGATTTACATTCAGATGGCTATATACAATCCTTGCCACTGACCGTAGTACTTGAGCGGTTACGACTGGAAACTTCCGAGAAATCAACTCATCACCACGTAATAGATGGTTGAAACGTCCAAACATCATGATTTTTCCTGCGAAATACACTCATTTGCATACCAATTCGGTTTTGACAGGGGGTTCACCTAGAACCCAGTTGAATCTCTCCTAATAGATTTTTATCCGATTGATGGTTGCATTCAAAAGTGAAGTGAGATACAATTACATCGAAAAGTCGAGTTGATATAGCAGTGTAGGACAACAGCGATCGCCACCATCATGCAAACTCTGATAAGGTGGATGTGAGCATCACAATTGAAGGCCTTCACAAGTTAAACCGGGCCGCTTAGTTCCAGGAACGATTGCCAGCAGGTTCTATATTGCAATTACATATTTTCCGAATAGGTGAGTCGATTGCGTCACTTAGCATTACCATGTACCTGGAATCTCAAACAAACTATCACACCTACGGTCAACGGTAGCTGTCCAATCGATCCAGTAATCTCCCCCGTCACTCTTCACATTGCTTCAAAGCATGAATTTTACTGACCTTAATTTAGCACTGTCGAGATATTTCTTCCGTACACCGTCGCACTCGTTTGCTTACCAATTTGGTTTTGACAAGAAGCCCATCTGGAACCCAGGTGAATATGTAGTTTATGGTTTATGGCTTAAAAGCTGCGATATCTCGAATGTTGCACCAGGTGAAACATGAGGCGGAAATTATGCGGCGTATTCAGTCGAAGAATATCATAAACGGAGGATTTAGTTGAGTCTCCCGTGAAAACCAAATTAATATGCAAATTGGTGTATTTGCCGAAATCCGTCCTAATTGGGCTAAAGTAGAACATGTTTGAGGGAAACTCGGAGACTGCGTCAATCTGATGAGGCACATGAAGGGCGAAACCGGTCGTGGGCTGTCGGAGAATATTCAGCAGCCTTATGAGTAGTGTTTTACACCTGACCATAAAGTGCGTTTAGATTCGTTCAACTATCACGTGTCCTGTACGCTTTTGTTGCGCACCGTATGTTGTCTGTACAACAAGTCACGTGTGAAAATTATACGCCTTGGTGTTGACACGTTCCGTGTTGCCGCTACCGTTCAATTAACACACATTTAGTTGCTTTGAAGTGTTTACGGACCGTATCATTCAGCGCTCACACTAGTGATGCTAGGTCTCGTAACTAGCAGCGCATAGTCTGTGATCCACATTCATAGTTGAAACTTTCGACAGAATTGGACGAGATGGATGCACCGGTTTATTAGGATCGTGCCGTAGCTTGTGCTTAGCTAGCTTGTCGAATTTCTTGAATATCATGGAGGGAAACTTTCTAAATAGATGTCTCCAATACGGATATTGGGGAGTAAACAGGTCAAGGATACTATCAGAACTGCCCTGTCCAAAACTTTCCTTACTACTAGATGAGGTTTCATAAAACCCGTCTTACAGAGGAGCTGTCGGCTCATCGAAACTTTCTCATGCTAAGACATTCTACCATTTTTGGAGAGCTCTTAGGTGAAATTCCTATGATCGGATGGAAATAGTGAAGTATTTCTATAAAATTCTAAACTGTAGGTGTAAAATTTCGAAGTCCTGAAGAATGCTTGTGCAACGTTCAGTATGTTGCGGTGGCGTGTGAATAACCCTAGTGACAACTTAACGTAGAACCTGCCCAAAATGTGTACTGAAACAGTTTGATAAGTCCGTTGGGTCACCCAGAATTTTCTCTGAGACCGATTACCGAAGCTTCATTTAATCTTAGGATGAAGTGGGCACAGAATTAACATTTGTAACCTGTCGAGCTGTTTTGGCATCTGTAAAAATTGATGCCTTTCGAAAACTATAGTTTGGAAGTAGACTGTTTTAAGCCATTGTAATCAAATGCGACCTTGTCTACGTCGCCCAGTAGCTTCCTCAGAGCAGTCTGAATGTGACATCTCAGGCAACTACAACTTCCCAGACTTGAACATACACCACTCATCGGTCAACTACATATGCTTTCTGTCGCCATGCAAAAAGGATATGAAGGGCGCCTTTTCAGTAGATGGCTATTAACGTTCATGAATTCAAAATCAAAGCCCCGTTAGCTTGCAAGAATTTGAAATTCTGTTAAGCGGTTTCGCAGTATCGAGATACCCTAGTGAAGGTCTTCGGTCTCGGGGAAAAACGCAAGCAATTGAGGCAGGGGCAAGGATAGGTCATTCTTGGC